CATGGAGACAGAAGTTGGGTTATTTCTTGGAATAACACACTATAATAGCACATGGACGTTGGGCAATCAGATTCCGGGACCATGAACTAGTCCTAGGAATCTCTTTTTTTTTAATGATTTTATTTATTCATTTGAGATAGAGAGCAAGAGAGAGAGAGAACACAAGCAGGGGACAGAGGGAGAGGTAGAAGCAGGCTTCCCACTGAATGGGGAGCCCAACACGGGGCTTGATCCTAGAACCCCGGGATCATGACTTGAGCTGAAGGTAGACGCTTGACCAACTGAGCCACCCAGGCATCCCTGACCTCTGAATCTTCTTAAGGCAATTCTTTCTTAATTGTACTTTCCTGGAAGAAGCCAGAGTTTGGTAAAAAGTGGAGAGGATTAAGAACTGTCCAAGCACCTGTTTATAAGGAATCACTAATTAAATCAAGCCTCAATGAACATCCATTCCTAAACTCCTCAGTGATGTTGACAGTTCTCAAAAGCTACATTTAAGAAAAATATTAATATGAATATGAAATATGCTTAAACTACTTTTGGTTCTTTCCATGACTCAAAAGAATAAATAATATCAGTCATTCATGTTGCAAATATCTATAATCATTTGCTTAATTTCAGAGAATAGTGCTGTAACTTGGTAGGTATATGGGACACCTTGGGTAGTTTATTTTTATTTATTTTTTTTTCAAGAGAGGGAAAGAGAGGGAAGGGGCAGAGGTAGAGGGAGAGAGAGAATCTTAAGCAGGCTCCCCTCTCAGCACTGAGCCAGACACAGGGCTCCATCTCACAATACTGAGATCATGATCTGAAGCTGAAATCAAGAGTTGAACGTTTAACCCACTGAGCCACCCAAGCACCCCCACCTTGGGTAGTTTAAAATAAATCAGTAAGTGATATAAAAATCATCTGTTTCAAAAATCAATTGAGAATGGAGAATAACTCACCTGAGGACTCTCAAACTGAAAGTGGGATTTTAGATATGAAGTTAGTACAGACCAAGTGATTTCAGGGAAAGAGCCTGGATCCGATACCAGAAAACATTAACCTTATGTTACGTTGATGTCACGTGGTCTGAGCCATTTATACCTTGGGAAATCCACTTCAACTGTCTGAGCCTGTTTCCAGTCAAATGAACATAGTAATAGTGCCAACATCAGTACCTGTGAGGATTAAATGAGACACATATGGAATTGCCTAGCATACTTGACCTGTTAGAAGATGGTGAGGCCAGGAAATATGTACCTGACGAAGAATTCTATAGAAGAGCCTTAAATTGTGACTGAGGATGGAGAGGTTAGAATTCAATTATGATTAATAATATAGGTAAATGTTTTGTTTTGTTTTGTTTTGATGATGAAAACTAGGTTCAGGAAGCTTGAGTCATCTGGAGATGAAGCAGTAGCAGCAGAACAGTCTGGGCAATGGAGAGGGGCAGGTTGGCACTGGACAAGTCAGGGAAGCTGCGGGTCTGAGTCAGGGGGGTTGGAGAAGCCTGGGGTAGATGTCTGGCCAGGACTGGATGCTCAGAAATGGAAGGGAAACTGAAGACTACTACTAAGAACACTTCAAGTGCAACCGGGCTTAAGCAAACCAAGGTGATCATACCTCTTCAGTGACTCAAGGATGAATCTTTTAGGTGTAAGGTAAAGCAGTTTTACAAATAGACTAATTTGGCCTGAGGGAGAAAAAGAAAAAAAGTATTTCAAGAACTGAGACAGTTGTACAGTCATGGACCAGCTGGCTGGTTAGTAAAACCTAAAGGGCAAATTTGAGTTTAATGAATTAAACAAGAGAACAGAAACCATGCACTTTTAACAGCCCTATAAAATTGGGGTCCATTAGGCTGGAGCCAAGAATAAACTATAAGGACAACAATATACGGATAGTTTGTTTATATATTTTTTGTTTTGTTCAGACAAAAAGAACATAGAAGGGATGCTCCTATTCGACACAGACGACAAGCAGAACTCATTCCTTTTTTTCTTCCTTTATCACAAAAAAATAAATAAATAAATAACCCTTCAACTGAAAGCGTTCAATGAACTTTGTGTGAGAGCTAATTGCAAACTTAGGTGAAGAATTTGCAAGAAAATAAACTAGCTCTCTAAAGCTTAACTCCTCTGGTCTACAAAAGTTACATCTCAGCAAGGAGAGTTTGCAAATAAGAACTTTCATCTCAAATCAGCACAGAGAGAGGTGAACACTAAAAGGCCAGAGGTGGACAAGTAAGTAGAGCTCCAATTTTCAAAAAAGCAGCAGCTAGACTCTGGAAAGCAAGACAAGGGACTTTTTACAGATCCTGAGCAAAATTAATAAACCTATTCTTACAGTAGTATCTGGGTACTTAGAAAAGGAAGAAATCCAGAAGTTAACAAGAATTCTCTAAGTAGTCATTTCCTTTTTTTGACCATGTTGCTACACCAGTAGAACAAGGACATCTCATAGACACATTTGTTGTTTAAGCTGTCTCTGGGAGGAAGAAGTGGTGTTTTCCTAATCCCTGGCCTGGGTATGGGTGGGTAATTTTTTCTAATATCCACAAAGATGCCAAGCACACATGCACTGTAGCTGCTGTTCTGGTACAAAAAAAGAAAATATGACTAAGTAACACGTGGGTCCTCCATTGATGAGAATATTCATCAATGGCGTGCTAATTCAGTGTCAGTTGGCAGTGGAAAGTGCCTGAGAATGAGGACTTGAATGATGACATGGCATACAGACCAGATTTGCAGGAGACATAAAATTGGGAGGTAGAATTACTCAATTAATTACACCAGTGTTTTTCAACATGTCAAATAGCTAAAAGAAGAAGCCTGACTTAGCACAATCAAACTTCATAGAATCACACGTTAAGGGATGAACACTAACTAGAATGAGTAGGCTGGGGAAGGTGTGTTGGAGAGCAACTGTAAGAAACCCTTGACTACTTCAGAGTTTTAGGAGAATATAATCCCGCAGTCAGCAGGGTAATACTGCTGCCATATAGCTCACAGGATTTACTTGAGGAAATACACTAATTAGAACAAAGCCATTAAATATCTTTTTAATCTTTTTACCCTGTGTTCTTTGGATGACACCTTGAATTTATTATTGGGGTCAGATTTTGAAAGGGACAGTGGCAAAGGAAACTGCCTTCCGAGAACTTTTCAGAAAGGATGAAGAGAAGCTGATGGAGTTGGTAGGTACCCAGCCAACCAAGAGTACTGAAGTACTCTTTTGTGCAGTCAAGGTGCCAGATGCTTCCAGAGGTCAAAGTTGCTGATATTTGAGGCCTGTTGCACAGGGGGCCTTTGCAAGAGGTAGATGTTATCCAAAAGCAGATTCTAGATCAATTGAAGGCAAAACTGGGGATGAAGGGGAGCAAATGACAATGGGTACTGTCACCTCTGAAGAGCTCTAAATCCTGGTTGCATATTTTGATCACCTGGGAAGAGAGTTTTAAATGCTGAAGCTTGAGACTCTAGCCCTAGAGATTCTGATTTATCAGTCTGGTGTGGGGCCCTCATTAAAAAGTATTTTATCAAAGCCCTGCTGCTGACTTACTGTTCTAGGTTGGAAAGTCACTGAGCTAGATGACTACTTGTTGAGAAATTAAATAAATCAAACCAGATGCTTTTTCTAAGGTGTCTTCCAAATTCAAGAAGATCAAGGGAAATGAAGACTTCTGGATTGCCCTCTACAGTTAAGCACTTTCACAATTTACCCTCTCTAATAATTGAATTAATACATATAAATCCCTTAGCACAGTGTCTGGCATGTAGTAACTCAAATATTAGCTATTTGTATTGTATAACCATGTATAACCATTCAATGGAGGTACTGTATCTCTACATACAGATGATGGAACTAAGATCGATCTGTAGTTGGTTTATCCTTATCAAAATAAGGATTCAAACCAGATTAAATCAGTTCTCAATTAGAGAGCCCATTCTCCCCTGCTCCACAGGTCACCTTTAAAACTTCTGGAAGTTTGGGGCACCTGAGTGACTCAGTGGTCTTGATCCTGGGGTCCTGGAATCAAGTCCCACATCAGGCTGCTGTCAGGGAGCCTGCTTCTCTCTCTGCCTCTCTCTCTGTGTGTCTCTCATGAATAAATAAATAACATCTTAAAAAAAAAAAAAAACCAACTTCTGGAAGTTTATGCAAATCAGTGGTTTACCTGAGTGAACATTTAAAAAATTTAATAAAACCACTTCCTCTTGAGCTGTTTGTAAGGAATCTCTCTTCAAAGGCATTTTTTTTTTTAAGAGAAGCCTAAAAGGCCAAGAGTTTTTCCTAATGTGGCCTAATGTGGAAGGCCTTGAGAACCTGTGAGGACAGGGGAAACGGGTGGAGGTGGCCCTTTAGAATTCCAGCAAAGCACTTTGAGGTAAACGAAGAAAAATACTGCTCTCTGGTAAAACATCTCCAGTTCTAAGGAATTGGGTTAAACATCTGTCACTTTTGTACCTCTAGTTCTGGTAGGTTCGATTACACCCTAACACGGCGGTTGGAGGATGTGATGGTCTGGTCCTAGAGGACACCTCCCTGGAGTCAGGCGGGACCAAGCTGCCTGCAGGGGGCTACTTTAAGACATGGGCCGGGGCAGCGCGCGTGGCTCAGCGGTTTAGCGCCGCCTACAGCCCAGGGCGTGACCCTGGAGACCCCGGTTCGAGGCCCACGTGGAGCTCCCTGCATGGAGCTTGCATCTCCCTCTGCCTGTGTCTCTGCCTCTCTCTCTCTCTTTCTCTGTGTCTCTCGTGAATAAATAAATAAAAATCTTTTTAAAAAAATAAGAAATGGGAGGAAACTTCTCCAAAGGGGTTGTGACTTCTAAGGTTGCAAATCCTCCACCTGAAAAACTCTGAGGATCCGAGGTCCGTCTCCTCTCCCTCCTCCTGCCTCACCCTCCACACACCCCCCCTCACCCCCCCCCCCAGGGGCCTAGGAGACACGGTGGAGGAAATTTCCTCTTGAAGGCCGCGTCCATCAAATGCTCGGTCCGGGACCCCGTTTACCTTGGATGGTTAAAATCCGTGGAGTTGTCTTTTGGACTTAGCGATCCCGTCAGCGCAGTGGAAGGGAGGGCAGCTTCCAAGGCGGTGATGTCCTCCCTTCTCCCTCGGAGTAGAACACGCGGGAGCAGAGGAGGGGTGAGTGCTGCGGGGAGGGCGAGGGCAGCGCGACTTTCCTCCCCCTGGGCCTCCAAACCTATGTCGCTTCACAGTCGACCCCGAAGCCTGTGGGGTCGCTTGGGAGCTGAAGCAACCTGGGGCGCGAGAGGCCTGGCGAGGCAGGGGTGCGAGGGGCGGGGGGCGCGCCCCAGCGGAGGGGGGAGGTCGGGGTCCCGCGGGGGGGGGTCCCCGCTTCCCCGCCCTCCTCCCCCTCCCCGGTGACGTTGCGGTTTCCTCCGCCCTCCCCCGAGCGCCAGCGCCCGCCGCGGCCCGCCCCCTCCGCCCCACACTCACCCGCCCGCCCGCCCGGCTCGCAGCAGCGCCGCCCGAGGCTGCAGCGGCGCATCCCGAGGCGCGGCGGGCGCCCTGAGGCCTCGGCTCTGAGGGCGCCGCGGGCTGAGGCGGGGGCAGGGGAGGCCCGGGCGCCCTGGACCGAGGCGGCCGCGACCGAGGGGGCCCCGGAGCCCGCGCCCAGGCCGGGGAGGCGAGGACCAAGCCGCGGCGGGGAGCGGTAAGCCGGGGGGCGCGCGGCGGGCGCCGCTGTGGGCCCCGCGCGGCGCAGCTCTCTTCCGGGGTCGCGGGCGGGTCGCGGGGCGCCGGCGGGAGGCGGAGAGCCACGTCCCGGGGCGCGCGGGGCGCGGGGCGCGCGGGGCCTCCTCCCGCCGCGGGAGCGCAGGGCGGGCGCCCCGGGAGCTTCGGCTCGCGCTGCCCGCGCACCCGCCGGGCGGCCGAGCCCCCCCGCCCCGCCGCCCCGCCGCCCCGCCGCCCCGGGGGGCCGCCCGCACAGGGACTGGGGCGAAGCTCCGGGCCGGCCGCTCCCGGTGGCGCTGGGCGCTGGACTCCCGGGCCGGGAAGCCCTGTCCGCGGCGCGCCCCGGGGCCCGACGTGTCGAGCTGCGGTGGTGACCCGGGGCGCGTCGCTCCTTTGAGGCAGCCGCAGCCCCGCGAGGCCCGCTGCCGTCGAAGGCTGACGGCGGCCCCGCGGCCTCGGGGCAGGAGGGGGGCCTCGCCTGCCGGCGGGCGGTTCCGTGGCTCAGGAAAGGACACTGAGGTTCTAGGTTTCTTCGTGTCAACTTCTTTTAAAAAAAAAAAAAATTTATTTATTTATTTATTCATTTATTTATTTATTTTTGTCTTTTCGTTAGTCGTGGTTTTCGTTACTGATACACTACATTTGAGAGTGGACGTTCTCGTTGCAAAACAGTTCCACACACACACACACACACACACACACACACACACACACTTTCTTGACAGAATTGAATCTTTCAGGAATTCGCTTTTCTTCAGCTCCGAAACGATTTCTCCATGAATGACAACTTCCGAAATGGGTGTGTGTGTGTGTGTGTGTGTGTGTGTGTGTGTGTGAGCGTGTGAGCGAGCGAGCCACGTTTGGTGGCCTATTCAGACGCTACTGCCACGACGGGGAGGGGAAGGGGGTCACAAAAATGTCATGCCCAAGGGAAAGAATAAAGTACAGGATTACGGGGGTCTTTGTCTATCATGTTTTTTTTTTTTTTTTTCTTTTTAAGGTCACCATACAGACACAAGTCGTGTTATTTTAGTGAAAAAAAAAAAAGAGAAAAGATGAGGTTTCCTGCCTCCATTCTCTAGGGACCCCCTCAGCAAAAAGTGCAAGACCGGGGTGCTGGTAACTGGGGAGACAGACAAGGGTGTATAGGAAACTGCCCTGGTGCTCCTGGAGTTGCTTTGAAGAAGCCCCTGAGACTTTGGGCCTGGGAAGTGTCATTTCCCATTGATTGGTATATCATGTCCCTACGACTTTAATCAATTCTTCGTTAATAAAGACACTTTCCTGCAAAGTGCATTTTTACATTCAGGTTAATAAGTATTGATAGTGGGCAGCCCCGGTGGCTCAGTGGTTTAGCACCTGCCTTCAGCCCAGGGCGTGATCCTGGAGACCCGGTACCGAGTCCCCCATCGGGCTCCCTACATGGAGCCTGCTTCTCCCTCTGCCTGGTGTCTCTGCCTCTCTGTGTCTCTCATGAATAAATAAATAATCGTTTTTTAAAAAAATAAGTATTGATAGTACAATCGCCAAGTAAAAGGGAGTTCTCAAAAAGAAAGCATTTGGACAAAAAGGAAAATTTGCAGCAGCACACACAGTATGGGCCTTTGCCACCATGGGGGTTATTAGGATCTTGCCGCTTCTGCTGGGTAAAAGCTGTTGAGGTTAGGGGCTAGTGTGGAAGACACCAGTAGCGAGTCAACCAGTTTGGTCACATCAAGTCAGGACTGTTGTAGTGACTAACATTTGTGTGAGCATCAACTTTAGTATTTATAAAATTTGTCCACAGATAAGCTAATACGGGTGTTCAGTGAGATTTGTGGTCTGGCTGGTCCAGTGATCTTGCAGTGCTGCCTTGAGGAGACCAGACCTGGTGATCATCCATAAGGTTCTTAACTTCACAGGTGTTGTTCTACCTTCCTCAGGGCTTCTTTTTAAAGATTAATCTCTGAAAACGTGTTTTATGAACACAGGTGAAAATGCATTCTGCAAGTACATAGTAAAGTACTTATGGGTATCTTCATATTCTTTATGGTAGATTATTTTGGTATTTATTTCTACTGCTGTGGATCACACTGTTGTGTGAAAGAAACTATGTTATTCCCATTCAGTATTACAATTCCAGCAAATGATTGGAGAGGAATAAAGGACAAAATATTTAAATTTAGGTTTTAATATGTCAGTAATCTAAGTTTTCAAATGGGTAAAGAAGTGGTAAAAAGACTAGCATTTTGTCATTCCAGTGTATATGAAGTATTATTTAACTATTAGCATGTTTGAGTCTAAAATGTAGTAAGTAAGTATTCTTACTGTTTTTTTTTTTCAGCACTCCCCCTGCCCAAGAAAAAAAGAGAAATAGTGTTATTTTCCTGGGATGTGTTTGTGACAGGACTTGGAGCAGGGGAAGAGCCTGTGGTAGAACTTCATCATCATAGTGAATATTAGTATTTCATTTACTGAGAGGGCTGAACCTTACTATTCTGAAGGAGTGGGTAAGGGTACTCAGTGAGGTTCGATGGGCAACAGCCTTCTGAAAGAATCTGTCCAAGCAGAGGACAGGACAGTTGTTACTGGATGCCTGAGGGTTTCCTCATCTTGGAATTACACTATCTTCCTCTATTTGGGGGTCACCCAATTACCAGCAGATGTTTGGATGACACAATAAAATTCTCTAAACCTAGAATCAGTGTCCAACTTGGGAATTAGGCAAGTGTATAAGACCAGACTACCAAAAAGAAAAATTGTTTTCCCATGCAATTCATTTGGTGAGTTAGTGGCACAATAGGAACTAGAGATGAAAATCCCAGACTCCTGAGGGACTGGTCCATGCGTCCATTTGGTGACGGTGATAATTAGAAATGGATGAATTTCAAAAAGTCTTGCCAACTCTAAGGCCCAATTCTAATAAGAAATTCCCTTTAAAAAATTAAACTCTGCATTAAGTGGATACTGTTTTTAATTGAAATAATTGTTTTTTTTAAAGATTTTGTTTATTCATGAGAGACACACAGAGAGAGGCAGAGACATAGGCAGAGGGAGAAGCAGGCTCCCCACGGGGAGCCCAATGCAGGACTTGATCCCAGGACCCTGGGATCACGACCTGAGCCAAAGGCAGATGCTCAACCGCTGAACCACCCAGATGCCCCCTAAAATAATTTTTCTTTAAAGAAAATCTTTCTCTGAAAGAATAAACTTAGTCCCACGCTCTGACCCATCTACGCTTAGTGTTTCACAACTTCTATGCACATATGGAAGAGTGATTAGGTTAGTTGGTGGTGGAAAAGTGTTACAGAAAAGATTTAAACTAGTGGAAAGTATTATGGGTGGGGTAAATAGGGGCCATTACGATTAATAAACCTTGCTTACAAATTCATGTGTTTAGACAATTAAAGGTAAGGGGAAAGTCCCTGATAGATCATATGGCTACATGAATACTTGCATTTTGAAATTGCCTAGTACTTTTAAATTTTTTTCCAAATCTAATATTTGTATACCTTAGCATATTTTAGTGGAAGTGGAGAGTGCTATAGAGCAGGTGTCTTATCCTCATTTTAGGGGTGCAGAAATGGAAATACCATGAAGGTATTGACTTGTCTGTCATTTTACAAATAATTAGCAGCCTGCCTTAAATCGAGATGAACCCACATTGTACATTTATTTCTACTTTTCTCCTTCATAACTCCAAGTTCATGTTATTGAAGACTCTTACATTTCATTTTCCTACAGATGTAGTTTATGATGCCTTTTACTACTCACTGCTGTCCAGGGCCTGTCAGCTCTGTCAAATACTTACGTGCTTCCCAGACTTCTGTAAACTGGCCGTATAGAAGAACCCTTCCTGCAGCTCCCTCTGCTTCCACTCTGGGCCTTGTAAGGAAGGATTCCATTGTGGGGGGCCTCTTCTAATTTCATGAATTCCTGCAGAGCCCTAGGCTCATCACTCAGTTCTCATTAGCTGCCTCAGGTCTTTGGGTGCTTCACCAATTGTGTGGCTTGCTTCTGCCTATCCAGGCAAGCTCCAGCCTGTTGAGGGTGTGGAATCCAGATCCTCTTTCAGATGCCCAGAAGAGTATAAACCTGTAGGAGGCAGAGTGAGTGTTCTCAGAGCCTGCTGGAGATCACAAAGAAGGAAAAGGAATGATTTTAATTTGGCAAGAGAAGAAAAGACAGTTGAGGCCATCTGTTTATTTCTCGAATAGAGTAGTTTGTTCAGTCCTTAATTCAGAATAACACTGTGAATTTTAATGTGTGTTAAGATTACTGGATTTCCTTCTAGTTGTTTCAACTCCCTTGGGATATTCCGTAAGCATGAACTTGGTAAGTGTTGTCATCAGATGTTAGTAAACAATTCCTGAAAAACAAAATTTGCCTCTTTGTAGAGGCTATAAACATACTGATAATAAGCATAGTTTGTTTTGACATTTTATATTTGGTAATGGTTATAGCCATTGGATTAGTATGGTCCTGTTTTTAAAAATAGGACAGAAGACATATATGCAGGTAACTCTCAATTACATGTATATGGCATATCCATTGTAGGTTGTGTCCATTTGCTTTGTCCTAGAAAGGGTCAGAGAGAGTTTGTAACCGAATGTGTATGTCTGCATGCCTAAAGATTTTTTATATTACTTAAGGAATTAATATTGCCTCTCCTCCCCAGTTAATGTGAAAAAAAATAGGTAATCATAGCAAAATTCCCTGTGTGCATTTAAATTAGTATACTTTGCTCTTCTAGTAGAAATTGAATAGGTCCACAATCAGTTAAAGAGCTGTCAGTGAAATTTTTCCATTTGAAATACTCATTGCATACACAGATGCCTTAGAGTTGTAAATTTGTATTTGTTGATTAAATCAAGGCTTCTGCATTTTTCTCGCGTGTAACAAACTTAGCTACTAAGCAATAGGCACTTAATGCATGCAGATGTTACACCACAACAAAGTTGAATCAGCATTTCATAACTCCTAAAAGGAATTTGTAAAGGA